ACTGCCCACCTCGGTGCTGGGTCACACCCCAGAACTGCTTCTGCCACGAAAGGAGTGCTCAGAACACACCTGTGCAGCCCCAGTTACCAACTTAGTCCACTTCTACTGTCTCCTTCCTTTAAGAAAATAAAAATTAGTGTTTTATGCCTGTGCATATCAACACAGAATCACAGAATCACAGAACAGCCCGAGTTGGAAGGGACCCACAGGGATCATCCAAGTCCAGCTCCTGGCCCCACAGGAAAAAACAGAACAGTATTTGTGATAATAAGCTCTTATAAGTCCCTTTAAAAAGTAATTACCTTTCTTAATGAAGAAAAGAAAGACTCATGCCCTAACAAACTCCCCTGTAATTCTGTAACAACGAAGTTACTCCAAAACACACCAAAAAAAAAAAATTGAAATGCATGTGGAAAACACGGAGAAAATCAGCAAGTGACAACCACATCTACATAATAAAGGCACATTCCAGGCACAGGTGACTCCCAAAGCATTCAGTTAGAAGTTTGCTACATGTGCACAAAATATGGGTCTCCAAGAAGATGAAATTTCAAACAGATTTCTTTCATTTGATGTGGAAGCTGTTACTTTGTTTATAGGAGCCTCCTGAGTGATTAGGAATCAATTTAAACTAAACAAAGAGTGGAGACCTAAAATAAGATTGCCTTTAGTAAGTGTTTGAAAGAAATCAGCTAAATTGTTTAAGCAACTGTGATTAAATAATGTTAAAACTATTCAAGGTTATTATTAAGGTTCACCAATGAGTACAGGAGGACTTCAGACAGGACATCAGAGCACAGACAGCAGTTTGTGCCAGGTCAGTGTAAATTGGGATGAAATCAGCACCAATTCTGCTCATGAGAGATGCAGCTGTTTGTAAGCAGGTTTTAACAAGCTGTTCTGAGTGGGGGCAATCTGATGTGTCCATTCCCAAATGCAATTCCTGCTCGTGGAAGGTGTCCCTGCCCAAGGCAGGGGCTGGAACTGGCTGAGCTTTCAGGTCCCCTCCAACCCAAACCCCTCTGTGATTCCAGGATTCAAATAAATGACAAAGTGCAGGAGCAACACTTTCCTTGCACGTGTGTTAATTAGAGCATTAACAATGACAGGTATTCCTTATTGGCTTTCTCTGGAAGTGCTCCATTTTGGGGGTTGGTTTCCTTTTCCTCTGAGGACAGCCCTTTCCCTGGGACAGCACTGGGGAGGAAAGCAGAGCTGAAGCACACGGTGCTTTATGGCAAAGGCTTCACTTTTCAGGAGGAGCCTGCAGGGCTGTGAGCAGGGCAGCTGGAGATCCCTCCCATTCCTGGCACTGCCCAGCTCCCTCTCACCTGCCACTGGGGGTTTTCTGCCCACTGCTTGAAACCCCTCAAAATCCAACCCCCAAATCCCTTTTTGTCACACTGAGAACGTTCCTACCTGTGTTGTCTCCTGACTTTGGGCTGAGCAGCTGCTTCTGGGAGCCAGATTTAGGCAGCCCCTCGAAGCTTTTGCGAGGCCAGGAGTTGGAGAGGCTCATGGGATGGTCCTGGGCCCTCCTTGGAGATGCAGCTGGAGAGGAGAGGGGCTTGGGGCTGTTCCTGGGGGAGGACAGGGGGTAGCAGGGCAGGATGAAGGTGCCCTGGCTGGCACTGAGGCCTTGGAAGGACATGGTGGGCTCTGCCTGAGTGCAAAACCCTCTCTGGGTCTTGCTGGGAAAATTTAGGCTGGAAGAAACTGGGCAAAGGAAAACAGAAGAGTATTTGTGATAATAAGCTCTTAGAATAATAATTTACAATCAAATAATGCATCACAAAAATAAATCACGGTGAAATGTCACACCATAACAATTTACAAGGAAACAATACACCATAAAAATTCGCAATAATACACCACAGTAATTTATAATAAAAGAATACATCATAGAAATAATTTAAAATTAAATAATACTAAAATTAAATAATAATAATTTGCAATGCATTAATACACCATCTAGACTGTCAAAGCCTGAAGGTTTTACCCAAGCAGGCAAATCAGGTACCTTCATTTTGCACTTTGCATTGCCCCTCCAAATGTGAGTTTAAGCCTTAAACTAATTCTCAGGCTTGTTTTGGAGAACTATGTTTAAAATAAAAGGATGACACAAGTAGGTCAAACACAGTTCTGATTCTTTTACAGAAAAGGAGGTGCTGTAACACCCTGATAGAGCTGTAAAAGGTGGGAGCTGTAAATTAACCAGTAATGAAAATATACAGGAGGAGGCACAAATATGTCTGACCAGGGACTGGAAAGCCTTTCAGTAACAGTTGTTATTTCTTAAGGCAGCAAAGAAATCAAGAGGTAATTCCAGAGTGCCATGCACTGACTTAGGACACTGTCACAACCCACATACCTTTGTCCTGCTGACAGTTGTTCAATCCCAAAAGCTGTAACTCCGAGTCCACACTGCCACTCTTCCCACGTGCCTGTGGGTATCCAAGTGTCCCACACTTCCCTGAAATTTGGGGCTGGTGAGAGCCCATAGCACCTTCCAAGAGCAAACACAAATGACTGGCTCAGAAACACGTGGTGTTCAGCAAAGAGTGCACAACAACATTTCCTGGTGAATTAGGACTCTGTGCTGCCCTGAGTGTAAAATCCAAATACACTGCGAGTATTTAATTCCAGAGTCTCTAAGCAACCCCCTAATACAGCTCAGAGGGAAAAAGGGAAAGGACTGGCTGTTCCTCCAGGGCCCTGCTCCAACCAGGAATTGTAGGGGGGCAGAAGAAACCCCGAACAATCCCCTCTTTGAGCATGTGACAATAAAGGGAAATAAACACCTAAAAACCCCCAAACACAGCGAGGGAGCAGACTTGGCAAGGCCTCAGGGCTGCTCACAAAGGGCCACGGGGAGAGAACAAATCAGGTCTGGTCTTGCCCAGGCTCTTGAGGAGCCTTTTGGCTCCTGAAGCTCCAAAATGTGTCTGTTGTGTGAGGGCAGCTGGAACCCTGCCCTGCTCACACTCACCAGCACAAACGGCAGAACTCCCAGAGTTCACTTCCACACCGCTCTGCAATAAAGTCCTGGAAGCTCTTTTTCTACTGAAAAATAACTCCTGGCTGGCTGGGACTCCTTGGGAGGGCTGGAGCTTCGGGGAGTGAAGGAAATCACTGGATGCAGAGAACTGTGGGCAAGAGGAGAACAAGCTGTGTGTGAAAGGAAAGCACATTTCCCTGCCCTGGGCAAGCAGCAGGGGCACAGACAGCATTGAGAAGTGCAAAACATCCTGGTAAAGGTTGTCTTCTCCCAGATATTCAAATATTTGAAGCATTAGAAAGCATTTCAGTCATTTTCCAGGTCTTAAAATAATACAGGTTAGCAGTATTCACACACTGAGGGGGAAAAAAAACCAGCAAAATAAACTGGTCGTGAATGGTACTATTTTAAGAATTAAATTTTAAGAATTAAATTTTAAGAATTAAATTTTAAGAATTAAATCTTAAAAATTAAAATCTTAAAAATTAAAATCTTAAAAATTAAAATCTTAAAAATTAAAATCTTAAAAATTAAAATCTTAAAAATTAAAATCTTAAAAATTAAATCTTAAAAATTAAATCTTAAAAATTAAATCTTAAAAATTAAATCTTAAAAATTAAATCTTAAAAATTAAATCTTAAAAATTAAATTTTTAAAATTAAATTTTGAGGGTTTTTTTTTTACTTTTTTTTTTTAACATAAATTTTGACATTTTGAATTATGTCCATTAGATGTGGGAGTGTTTAAACAGACAACAAAATCCCAGAACAGAACAGCTACTTGAGCTGTGCAAACTTCAGGTTTAGTCAAAAAGCTGGAGCTGGGGATATCAGGAGCTTGTACTGAGAACTGGGCAAAGGTTAGGGGAAAATCTCAGTAATGGCAGTATTTAGCAAAGCAAAGATCATGCTTTAAATGAAGGTTCCTGATTTAATTAGTGAAATCAGTGATTTACATCATCTCCAGGCTGCATTTCCTCCGCTCTCCCCTTTACAGACGAGGCTGCACAAGGAGAAGTCTGAGCAGAAATGGAAATATTTATTCAGTATTGGAAAGAAAAGCACCATGTTCAGCCTGAAAACCCCTTTATTCACATCCTGCTGTGTGAATGGGGTATTTGTAGTCTAACACCTACATAATACATTGATTTATACAAATAGTTATTTTTCATTTCACTGAACGTCTCAGTTCACCACACAAATGGGATCCTCTGACTGGGAACTTCACAGAAACTCCTGGAATATCAAAGTGCAGTTCTCCACAATTCCATGATCTCCCCAATGCACAGCCTGGCCCACCCAATCCAAGTTGTTCTGGACAGTGAGAGGCCCCCAGAACAGCTCCCAGCTCTGCCAAACCCTCCCTGCTCCAGGAGAAACCTCGGGGTGACTTCACAGATTGTCCCCCAAGTTGCGTGTCTGGGTCAGACAAACAGCAGCCAAATGCTCTGGTTTAGTGTCTTTAAAGGATTTAATTAATGTTGTAATGGGGTTTCACAAAAATATCACAAAGGAAAGCACAGAACTTCAAACTTGGGAGGAGAACCATGACCATGAGCACACACTAATTGGTTTAAAGTCCTTATAATATTTAATCTATCACACAGAGAAATAGGAGTGGTTATGGAATATAGACAATATTAAATAAGTAGTTAAATAATGAAGTTTGAACAAAACCTTTGGGTCCTTTCCAAGTAAAGAAGAGACACAAGATACACACTCGAGCCTAGAGAAATTCCACCCCCATATCCTGCCAACAAGGAAAAAAAATAAACCTCATAATTCAAACTTTTTAATTACATATTCCTAATTCTCCTGAGACTGTTCCCATTAAAAATGGAAAATGAAGTCACATGAGGTACCTGTTGGCAGTAAATAAATAAGTGAAGCCTGGTTTTCCATTTAAAAGCCAAGCAGTTCCCAGAGGCAGCTGAGCTCCAAGGTCCACAGCTATGTGGGCACTGGTTCTTGGGGGAAACCCTTCCCTGGGCCCGGGAGGGGGTTTGTGCTTAACAAAAACGGCCACAATTTTATCCTCCCCTCCAAAACCACGCTGTGATTTCCTGTTGGCATTTCCCAGGCTCGGGTGGGAGTCGTGTCCAAGTCTCCAGCCTGAGGCACCTCAGCAAAGCCACCAAAATGCCCCAAAGCTCAAAACTCCCCATGAAATCTCCTCCCTGAGAGCCGGGGCTAAAGCTGCTTAATCAGCCTGCAGGGATTAGACTCTCACTGAAGTATTTTAGGACAAGTGCTTAAAGCACAGCAGGGTGGGGGAAAACTGAGGGGGCCTCCACAGCAGGCAGGCCCTGAGGGACCCCAGGGGCCCTTCACACGGGGGGACAAAGGGCAGCAGGAAAATGGAGAAGGGGTTTGTCCCGGGTTATCCCGGTTAGGATAAAAGAGATGAAACCTCGGCATTCCTGCCCCTGGGATCAGCAAACAGCATTTCCCATCCACAGAGCTTCCAGTCCACAACTAAATGTCACTTGTATGAGTTCCTGTGGCCTGGTTTCAGCCATGTTCCCCTCAGTAGCTGGTGCAGGACAAACTTAGGCCCCATTTTTCCACATGGACAAAGCAATTTATGCAGAAGGAGTAAAGTAAAACACTGCCATTATTGTACAACTCCACTCAGCTGTTCCAGTCCCAGTTACAGGGATAAAAACTCTGCTTCTCTGTGCACAAATTATAATTACAGCATTACTAATTTGCTAAACATGGGCTTGAGGGCAGTGGGAAGTAAAGGTAAACCCAAAGCTGCCAGATGTTCCAGGGGAGTAGATGACAGATCCCAGCAAAGGGATTTCTCAGAAGGGTTCCTATAGATTCCACCAGTACCACCATTGTCAGGCAATATTGGAATCCAGCCACCAAAGGAATTATTAACTTGGTTACCAAAGCACTTGAGAGTGACCCATCATGGAATCACAGGATGGTTTGGGTGGAATGGACCTTAAACATCACCCAGTTCCACCCCTTCCACTATCCCAGTTGTTCCAGACCCAGCCAGACAAAAGGTTCTCCTGATCCAACACCCAGCAGCATCAACCACAGGCTCCCAGGGAAAAGACCTACAATCACAAATACAGAATGATATCTCCCCAAAATACTCCTGCAGCCTCCAGAAAGGCCAGAGCTCCTGTGCCAGTGCCACCCCAGGTTCCCAAGAACAGGCAGCCTTATCCCACTGACTCTGTGTGCCTCTGATCCTTGCTAAAACAGAGCGCTGTTGTTCCATAAATCTGATTTCACACTTGCACACCCACTGAGGTCCCCACAAAGCCCAGCTCTGAGGTTCTCTGTTAGGGGATCAGGATGGAAACGAGGAGAATTCCACAGTGTTGCCCAACACTGCAGTTATGGGAGATCACAGAGGTCACAAGTACTTTGTGACAGGGCTGGAAACATCGGAGAGATGTTCAAGTGCTCTTGTTTCCCCCAAAAGGGAACCTTTGGGTACCAAAAGGCACCTCCAACAGCAGATGCATGGTCTGTGTTTCACAGGAGGTAACTCTTGCCCTACAATAATCCCTAGGCATGGTGTTTTCCATACAGCACACTGAATTTCCAAGGAAAACACGGGAAGGCTCAGCTACCAATAGGTCAGTGAGAACTCTGTTAGCTCATTCTGGGGTAACCACCTTGTCCTTCACGTTACAGAGTCAGAGAAGATGAGAGTTCAAAAGGGAACCTGGGATTGCTTGCAGCATTCCTGGACTCACTAGTGTGACCCCTCATGGATGGCAAGGCTGGGAAACCACTGGAGAATCAGGAGGTTTGGTCACAGCAGGCTGAGTTCAACTACTTGAGAAATGTTTCATCAAGAACCCAATTAACCAGCACTGACAGAATCATGGAATGCTTTGGGTTGGAAGGACCTCAAAGCCCACCTCATCCCTCCCCCTGCCATGGGCAGGGACACCTCCACTATCCCAGGCTGACCCAAGCCCTGTCCAACCTGGCCTTGGACACTTTCAGGGATGGAGAATCCACAACTCTCTGGAGAAGCTGCCAAGCCCTTGGAGTCACTGTGCTTTATCTACCTTTTATTTTTAGTACACATTAACTTACACATGTTTTACTTCACATCTTATCTGATCAGGAAAGTCTAGACATGGCCTTGGACAGCCACTGTGTAACATGACCCTAAAAATCCTGGCAGGAAAACTGCTTTAAACATTAAGCTCCTTCCATGCATCCCTTCAGCCACAGAATGACTCCAGAAGTTAATTTTTAAGCAAATTCATTTCAAAGGAATGTCTGAATTAATAATTAATATTTTAAATGTCAAGTCAAGTACCAGAATTCCATGCATGATAAATGAATTTACCTCACTGGAGGGAGTTAAGGGGAGATCCAGGGCTGCCTTCCCACACACACACTGATTTCTGGATGCCCCCAGCACAGGAGCTTTATTTATACAGCTCATGGCAACCTCAGTTCAGAAGGGCTGTCCCAAGGACGGGAAATTCTTGGGAAGGAAATCTTCCCTGGGAGGGTGGGGAGGCCCTGGCCCAGGTTGCCCTGAGAAGCTGTGGCTGCCCCTGGATCCCTGGAAGTGTCCAAGGCCAGGTTGGACAGGGCTTGGAGCAACCTGGGACAGTGGAAGGTGTCTCCGTCCATGGCAGGGGTTTGAAATGTGATCTTTAAGATCCCTTCCAACCCAAACACTCCATGATTCTATGACTGACACCATCTCTAAATGCACTCTGAATATCAACAGAACAGAATCCAGAAGTGAACTGCTTTCTCTCCCTCTCTCCAGGGTTGGAAACCTCGGGCACTCCTCCCACTTCACAGGGATAAACAGAACCACGTGCACAAAAGGCTAATTCCTTTTAGAAAAGGACCATATCCAGAGCACCTTCTCCCATTCCAAGCTCCAGCCAGGCTTTGGTGCCTGTATTAACTTGCTTTGTGTTCAGAAAACCACACAGAGCAGCAGCACAGGGCTCAGCCCAACCTGCCTGGAGAGCACTGGCAACTGATATTTCTACAAGCTGTCTTAGTCAATACTGCAAAACTGCTTCAAAAAGAAAACCCTTCTTGCTCTGGAGGTGTTTCCTACATATCTTGGTGTCCAGAGCCTGTTTGTAGGTATCCCAAAGGAATTCAGCTGCCTGATTCATCAACTGAAGAAGACACAGATCTCTTTAGGGGCCTGAGTTAAAGGTAACACAGACACCAAGGAAGGGATGAGCATGTCTACATTCAGGTCTAGACATGAACTTTGGGGTTTTACAGTACAGAAACATGAACTCACATTTATTTATGCTCTTCAGTTTCCCAACAGCCTGGCTGCAGAGGAGCACTCACTGTCCATGACCTCATCCAGCACAGTAACAAGTTACCAAGCAACTGGGAATTAAATTCTCACTACGTAAACGTGGCAGGAGGAATCTCCTCTGCACAGCCTTTGATTTTCCGGGATCTCTTTGCTTCAGCTCAGTCACAGGAGGTTGAGACATGATAAATCAAACGTGTCCACTTATAAAAACCCCAAACACCACAGAAAACCCACCACACACAGACACCACACGTGGGAGTTGTATCCAAAACACGTGTCACAGCACCACTGCCAAAGGCAAAACGACCTGGACGATATTCCAGAAACTCCTTCCCTTTCCAGCTGCTGACTGGGTAAGTGATAAAATCAAAACTCAGTCAGAATCGCTGTTCCAGCCTGACCTACATTTTTCCTAGTGAGCTCAGCCTGAGCAGCAAGAGCCACCCAGGCATTTGGCAGCCTCCAGGTTTATCCCAGGGCAGTCAAAGAGCCCTGGCTCAGCCCCACTCCAGAGCTCTGCCTTCAGAGCCTGAGCTGAAGGAATGGGTCAGTTCTCCCCCAGACAGCTTCAGGACACTCTCAGCAGTCAGGCAGGTGCCCTCAAACACAAATATACAGAGAAAGGCTGCGTTTCCCCCACTCTTGTGCTCATTCCCTGGGGTTCACCTGTCACTGCTGACATGCCAGACATATGTCACTGTGGTCAGGCCTAAGAAGTGCCTCGGGGAGCCCAGTAATATCAAAAATTATGTTTATTAAGTGATAAGTTGTTTGTTTAAATCTGATACAAGGAATTCCCAAACTTGCACTCCCAGACCGATGTGAGGGTACAAATCCTTGCACACAAAACACCAGCCATCCCTCCCAAATAGCTGCCACTTAACAAGCCTCTGACAACTTTCCAACTTCCCCTCGGAAATGCCTTAGGATGAAGGATGCCAGGGAGTTACATACCTGCTCCACACCCTTCGGGAACGGCATCCTGACTCCCGAGCCACCTTCCCCGTCTCCGGCCAGCTCGGATTCCCACGGCAGCTTGTTCTTCCCTCTCCCGGCGCTCAGGACTCTCCTGGGGCTCATCCCTTGCTCGGCACACTTGGAGCCGGGGCCGTGCGGCGCATCTTCCC